ACGATCCCACTGACGCAACAGCATGGCCACACTCTTAAGGGCCCGCCGTTTCTCTTCTGGAGTTGGTGGGACTTGCCTCTTCCAGAATATCAGAACCTCCTGCAGGAGGGGGTCAGCCTCCTGCAAGGAGCAAATGTCAGAAGGGGGGTGAGATGGAAGGACGTTGACCATAAATTGGGTAGCACTAACTTAGGGTTGTGTCACTGAAACTTGCTGCAAAGGTTCGGGGACAGCAGTACCAGGGAGGATATGCTCCCCCAAGTCATGACCAGACATATACTGGCGTGACAATGTGTCAGCATTCCGATTACTGCGTCCCGACCGGTATTTAATCTCAAAGTTAAATGCAGCCAGCTGAGCTGCCCACCGCTGTTCCATAGCCCCAAGATTGGCCGACTGAAGGTAACTCAACGGATTGTTGTCCGTAAAGACGACGCATTTCTGACCAAGGAGGCATTCCCTAAATTTTTCAGTCATGGCCCACTTCAGCGCAAGGAATTCCAGTTTCATTGAACTGTAATTGTTCATATTGCCCTCAGTGGGCCGAAGACCTCTGCTGGCATAGGCTATGGGTTTAACCCCCGTTTCCTGCTCCTGTGACAGAACTGCTCCCAGGCCATTAAAACTAGCATCCACCTCCAAGATAAAGGGACGCGAGAAATCAGCATAGCCAAGGACTGTGGCGGAGACCAACTTGGCCTTCAATGTCTCGAAACTGTGCTCACAGTCCGGTGTCCATTCGGTGGCGATAGACTGTCCTAACCCTCGCTTAGACTTGGTGCCTCCAAGTTCAGCCACCAGTTTGTGTAAAGGGCTAGCCAACTTTGCAAACCCTTCTACAAACCGCCTATAGTAACTGGCAAATCCTAAGAACGAGCGCAGTTCTGACACATGGCTCGGACGTTGCCAGCTGGCTACTGCCTCAATCTTAGTTGGATCTGTGGAGACTCCTTGACTGGAGATAATATGTCCTAAATAACCAACTTCCTTACGGAAGAACACACACTTCTCTAATTTTGCCTTTAACCCTTCTTTGTGAAGTCGACTGAGGACGACTTCTAAGCGTTGGAGATGTTGAGAGACAGAGGCAGAAAACACTATGATGTCATCAAGGTACAAGAGCAGTGAATGGCTTTGCTGATCCCCAAACAGTCTCTGCATTAGCCGCTGAAACGTGCTTGGAGCATTGCATAAGCCAAATGGCATCCGGTTCCACTCGAAGAGGCCAAAAGGTGTACAAAAGGCCGTTTTGACCTTGTCTGGCTCGGAGACAGGGACCTGATTATAACCACTGGCCAGGTCTAACGTTGAAAACCAACAGGCCCCTGACAGGGCATCAAGACTCTCCTCAATCCGTGGAAGGGGAAACGCATCCTTTTGTGTTCTACTATTAAGTAAGCGGTAGTCCACACACATGCGCAAAGTGCCATCTTTTTTCTTGGCCAAAACAATAGGCGAGGCGTATGGACTGCAGCTCTCACGGATGACATGGGCGTCCAGAAGTTGGTTAATATGGGCCTTTACGGTCTCATATTCGGATGGGGGAATACGCCTATAACGCTGCCGTACTGGGGTATCATCCAGCAGGGGAATGTCATGTGCAATGAGGTTCGTACAGCCTAGATCACCCTCATGGGCAGAGAAGACAGAGCTGTACCGCAAAAGTAAGTCTCTAACCTCAGACTGTTCTGATTCAGACAAGGCACCCAAGTCTGCCGCCAGAATCCGGTCCTGCAAAGCACTCGTGACTACTTGGGAGGAAACTGTTGCAGTGGTAAACCTCACCTCAGTTACACTGGTGGGCAGGCTAATGACATGGGCGGAAGTTACTGACCCTACCCTGACGCGTGGGTAGAGAAGAACGTCAGTTACCCCGACATTAACCACTGGAACGAACACAGTGCCCCCAACGATTTGGACGAGGCAAGGCGACGCCAGCAGACCAGCAGGTAATCCAGACTCTGGAGGCTCGAAAAGTGCAGCCAAACCCGCAATCTGTTCAGAACAAGTACAAGCCACAAACTTCATTACCCCACCAGGTATGCATACAGCCTGTGTTCCCCTGAAACTCCCCCCACCGGCCTTGGAAGCATTATGACTTTTAATGGCTGATTGATGGCACTGCTGGAGTGCCTTCAAGATGGACCCCGGAGCTTGAGTCACAGGAGGGGAATCAAACAGAGAGGGCCCATAGGCCCCAAAGAGCTCTTGATAACAACGACTAATAACGTTCATGCCCAACACCCCAGGAATGGCAGGGGGAACCCCAGAGGTGTCCCGTACCACTAAAATGCCACAACGCGGGATGGTCTTGCCACATAGGACAACGTCAAGTTCTAAATACCCGATATAGGGGATTGCCAGGCCATTGGCAGCTTGAAGCTGAAGCCAATGACAGGAGTGAAGGCGATCATGGCCCCAGGGTTCAAATTGCTGACAGAAAAAGCTCTCCGTTACTGTAGATACCATGGATCCAGTATCTAGTAGGCATTGGACCATAACACCCCCCACTAACACATCAATATTCGGACAAGAGGACAGCAATCTAGACACCACCCCCACTTGTGAGCCAGTGGAGACCCCATCTGAGCTGTGGCTCAACAACTCAGTGGGAATCAGTTTTCCAACTGGCGAGACCCGTGGAAAGACCTGGACCGGCCAGAAGAAAGGGCGGAAGAGGAATTAGGACGAGGTTGAGAGGGAACTCGTTCCCCGTCACAGTCTTTTGCAAAGTGACCTGGCGGTTGACAACGACGGCAAACAAAAGGGGCATTACGATAAGAACGATTGGGCATGGTGGAGGTTTGCAATGCAGCTATAGTCTGAGTGAGCTGATTCAGCTGCTCTTGTTGGTGCTTCAACATGGCCTTTAACTCACCCAACTCGGAGCCTGGAGGGGTAACTGGAGTAGTGGGCTGAGAGGTGCCTCGCACAGCATACTGCAGGCCATAAGCCGAGGGTAGGGAAAAGCTACGGGCTCTAGCACCTGCCGGAAGACCTTCCCTTTCCCATCTCAGGGCTTCCCTGCGGATTTCTAGCAAGGTGGTGGTGGGCTGACCCCGGATATATTGTTTCAACTCTCTACGAAGGGAACTATCCAAAACATGTTCTACGAATTGATCACGAAGTAAAACCTCTGCATTAAGCACACCACCTGGAGCACACTGCCTGACTTTATCCATTAAAGCCATTAAGGCCAAGGATCGAAATGATCAAAGATAAAAATGCCTTATCAGCAGTAGACAAATGGCGGGCCTGCATACATGCCTGTACCTCCTCGGTCCACTCAAGTATACCTATCCCTGTCTTCCCATTAAACATGGGACACTTACGCTCTCGCTGTAAAACAACCAGGCGCTCAGTTACTGGCGCGGCTCGTGTAGGACCAGATGGTCCAGGAGCTAGTGGATCAGGATTAGGAATGGGTTGGGGAGTTGACCGTTCCTGTAGTAAGCGCTCTTTCTCAGCTCTGAGCTGCAGCACTAGGTCACGAAGCTGCTCTGGACTTAACTCCTCGTCCCCCATACTTGAAAGGGGAAAGCTACACTAACTACACACAACAACCCTACCTTTAGGTAGATATTCCAGGGCTCCTGGGCAAGAAGCTGCTGCTTTGTCCCACTGTCAAACAAATACCATCCACTAACGCCGTTACAATCAAAACAGTTCAGAAAAGAAACAAATAAACGCACGTCTCTGGTTTACACAAGAGGGATCCTGCCAACTACGCCAAAATGTGGCAGGGACAAGGTGAATCTGAGAATTTGTTGCATCAACTATGCCACCTAGGGGACGGGAGGCCGGATCCCAGGACAAGGAACTAAACTAGATTAACCCCTAAGGGTAATTCGAGCACACAGGTTCGTAAACTCAAGGAGCCGGAGACATGCGTTACATCAACGATATTTATTCCAACAAAACACATTAATTATTACCGTTGCCGGTAAAACAAGACCATACAATTGACACTCGCGACGAGGTCCCACCAACACAGTGACCAGGGGCTGCTATATAAGCACTGTAGCTATGGGGTTGACTAGCACCTTGCTATTGGGCGAGGTGACCTGGTCTCAGGGAGGGGTAACTAGAACAGGGAAAATGCTTACCACAGCGAGCCGGACTACTGCAAGACAGAGGGTAGGGGGTCCAGGAAATACACCATGCATGAGAGAAACACTACAATCCAAACAAAAGATACCTCAATGTGCACACAGCAAGGGAAGGTGAAAGCCTCCACCACGAACTCAGTCCTCCGCTCACGTGGGCCACACTGCTCCTGTCTGCCAATGGGAAAGAGGAAACACAAGCACTGATTAACAGAGTGGTTGATCTTACAAGCCAGGTATGCTAGCAATACTACAAATAGCTACTTATCTTGAGCAGCAGGTTTGGTGCTCCAGCTCCAAAAGAAATTCCATAAGACATTATTTTGTCCTCACACATGGAGACATTTACATGGATGGGCAGCCATACAGAATGATCATCCTGTAATATCTTTCTTTTGTCTCTATATCACTTACTATTTATTTTAGGGTGATTTCATGAATGTTAGCAGTTAGTGTAGACGTTAGCAAAAAACGTGGGTGTTTCCTGCAAATGTCATTTCTCACATTTACAAAATCAGGTTTTTTTTTGTAAAAAAAAAAACCCTGGCGTTATTAGCACCACGCTCTAACCATCTGAGCTAACAGGCCATGTGTTTGCTTATCGGGCTCTTCTCCGCGAGACTCTGCACGTGCAAATGAGTTGTTGCGCCATGTGGCTATCTGTATGGTCCTGCATGGGTGGAGGATAGAGATGTTTGTAGAATCGTCCCCTACCGCTGACTGACTCCACTTGCCACTGGAGAGAAGAAAAAAAACAAACATTTGAAGAAGCAATGAGCCACAAAGATTAATAAGGATGTTCTTCCACAAATGAGTGCCTTCTCTGCAACTGTTGAGTATGCATCGCAATAGCATTTTTTAAACTGCGCAGGTATGATAGTGAACGAGTTATGAGAACTGTACATAAGTTCAAAGCATCGAACCCGCGACCTTGGCGTTATTAGCACCACGCTCTAACCATCTGAGCTAACAGGCCATGTTTTTGCGTATCAGGCTCTTCTCCGCGAGCCCAGCTGTCTGAGCGCGCAAATGCACTGCTCAGCTCCACGACCTGACGAGCCGCTTGTAGTACGAGCGGTCGTCCTTGTAAATTCCGTGAAACCAAAGGAGGCGACTTGGAGATATCGACCTGTAAACCAACCAAGACTGTAAAATCAAAGCGCTATACAAAGAATGGGAGCGAGCAAATCTCATCAACCAGCACCAGCATGTTGCATACACCTGGATGATGGACTAAAACCCAAAGTATGAATTAAGAGCAAATAATCATAGAAGAATTATAAGAAATCCAGTGAACTTTGAGATTATAACTTGTCACCTTACAGGAAAATATAGCTGAGAACATGTATAAAACTAAATGGAACGACCAATTACTTTTATTTCATTAATATTCTTTTTTTCCGATTATACATGGACCTTTACTTTGATTAAATAGACTTATTATTTATTATAGGGTGATTTCATGAATGTTAGCAGTTAGTGTAGACGTTAGCAAAAAAACGTGGGTGTTTCCTGCAAATTTCATTTCTCACATTTACAGAATCAGGTGATTATGTTCGCCCAGCAATGCAGCTTTCTCGTTATCTATAGAGACAAAAGAAAGATATTACAGGACGATCATTCTGTATGGCCGCCCATATATTTAAATGTCTCCATGTGTAAAGACAAAAGAATGTCTTATGGAATTTCTTATTGTGCAGTCACTGGGTTTATTTGTGAAGATACTGATGAATGAAAACTTTGTGCAACCAAAAAACACATCTCAGCTTGAGCTTTATTCTTTCAACTTTATGTACAAAAGTAAACCGAAATCACTATTTATTTGAAAACCATTCCATGAGTTGTTGCGCCATGTGGCTATCTGTATGGTCCTGCATGGGTGGAGGATAGAGATGTTTGTAGAATCGTCCCCTACCGCTGACTGACTCCACTTGCCACTGGAGAGAAGAAAGAAACAGATATTCGAAGAAGCAATGAGCCACAAAGCTTAATAAGGATGTTCGTCCACAAATGAGTGTCTTCTCTGCAACTGTTGAGTATGCATCCCAATACCATTTTTGTAAACTGTGCATGTATGATAGTGAACGATTTATGAGAACTGTACGTAAGTTCAAAGCATCGTTTAGCCCGTACGGGGATCGAACCCGCGACCTTGGCGTTATTAGCACCACGCTCTAACCATCTGAGCTAACAGGCCATGTTCTTGCGTATCAGGCTCTTCTCCGCGAGCCTCCGCTGTCTGCGCGCGCAAATGCACTGCTCAGCTCCACGACCTGACGAGGCGTTTGTAGTACGCGCGGTCGTCCTTGTAAATTCTGTGAAACCAAAGGAGGCGACTTGGAGATATCGACCTGTAAACCAACCAAGACTGTAAAATCAAAGCGCTATACAAAGAATGGGAGCAATCTATCAACCAGCACCAGCATGTTGCATACACCTGGATGTGTACCCAATACATATTTGTTATTTGCAGAATTGTTATAAACTAATGGAACGACCAATTACTTTTATTTCATTAATATTCTTTTTTCCAATTATACATGGACCTTTACTTTCATTAAATAGACTTATTATTTATTATAGGGTGATTTCATGAATGTTAGCAGTTAGTGTAGACGTTAGCAAAAAAACGTGGGTGTTTCCGCCTGCATTTCATTTCTCACATTTACAGAATCAGGTGATTATGTTCGCCCAGCAATGCAGCTTTCTCGTTATCTATAGAGACAAAAGAAAGATATTACAGGACGATCATTCTGTATGGCCGCCCATATATTTAAATGTCTCCATGTGTAAAGACAAAAGAATGTCTTATGGAATTTCTTATTGTGCAGTCACTGGGTTTATTTGTGAAGATACTGATGAATGAAAACTTTGTGCAACCAAAAAACACATCTCAGCTTGAGCTTTATTCTTTCAACTTTATGTACAAAAGTAAACCGAAATCACTATTTATTTGAAAACCATTCCATGAGTTGTTGCGCCATGTGGCTATCTGTATGGTCCTGCATGGGTGGAGGATAGAGATGTTTGTAGAATCGTCCCCTACCGCTGACTGACTCCACTTGCCACTGGAGAGAAGAAAAAAACAAACATTTGAAGAAGCAATGAGCCACAAAGCTTAATAAGGATGTTCTTCCACAAATGAGTGCTTTCTCTGCAACTGTTGAGTATGCAGTCCAGTACCATTTTCGTAAACTGTGCAGGTATGATAGTGAATGAGTTATGAGAAATGTACGTAAGTACAAAGCATCGTTGTCGTGCATCGGAACCCCCCTTGGCGTTATTAGCACCACGCTCTAACCATCTGAGCTAACAGGCCATGTTTTTGCGTATCAGGCTCTTCTCCGCGAGCATCCGCTGTGTGCGCGCAACGCAATTCACTGCGCAGCTCCACGACCCGACGAGCCGCTTGTAGTACGGATGCGCGGTGCCTTGTAAATTCTGTGAAACCAAAGGAGGCGACTTGGAGATATCGACCGGTAAACCAACCAAGACTGTAAAATCAAAGCGCTATACAAAGATGGAGCGAGAAATCTCATCAACCAGCACCAGCATGTTGCATACATGGTGATGGATAAACCCAAGTATGAATTAAGAGCAAATAATCATAGAGAATTTAAGAAATCCAGTGAACTTTGAGATTATAACTTGTCACCTTATAGGAAAATATAGCTGAGACATGTATAAAACTAATGACGACGTTGCTTTCATTTCATTAATATTCTTTTTTTCCAATTATACATGGACCTTTACTTTCATTAAATAGACTTATTATTTATTATAGGGTGATTTCATGAATGTTAGCAGTTAGTGTAGACGTTAGCAAAAAAACGTGGGTGTTTCCTGCGAATTTCATTTCTCACATTTACAGAATCAGGTGATTATGTTCGCCCAGCAATGCAGCTTTCTCGTTATCTATAGAGACAAAAGAAAGATATTACAGGACGATATTCTGTATGGCCGCCCATATATTTAAATGTCTCCATGTGTAAAGACAAAAGAATGTCTTATGGAATTTCTTATTGTGCAGTCACTGGGTTTATTTGTGAAGATACTGGTGAATGAAAACTTTGTGCAACCAAAAAACACATCTCAGCTTGAGCTTTATTCTTTCAACTTTATGTACAGAAGTAAACCGAAATCACTATTTATTTGAAAACCATTCCATGAGTTGTTGCGCCAAGTGGCTATCTGTATGGTCCTGCATGGGTGGAGGATAGAGATGTTTGTAGAATCGTCCCCTACCGCTGACTGACTCCACTTGCCACTGGAGAGAAGAAAAAAACAAACATTTGAAGAATGTTCAAAGCTTAATAAGGATGTTCTTCCACAACTGTTGAGTATGCAGTCCAGTACCATTTTCGTAAACTGTGCAGGTATGATAGGGAATGAGTTATGAGAACCGTACGTAAGTACAAAGCATCGTTTGGCCCGTACGGGGATCGAACCCGCGACCTTGGCGTTATTAGCACCACGCTCTAACCATCTGAGCTAACAGGCCATGCTATTGCGTATCAGGCTCTTCTCCGCGAGCATCCGCTGTGTGCGCGCGCAAATTCACTGCGCAGCTCCACGACTTGACGAAGCTCCGCCTTAGAGTACGAGAGGTCGTCCTTGTAAATTCTGTGAAACCAAAGGAGGCGACTTGGAGATAACGACGAGTTACTTTTATTTCATTAATATTCTTTTTTTCCAATTATACATGGACCTTTACTTTCATTAAATAGACTTATTATTTATTATTGGGTGATTTCATGAATGTTAGCAGTTAGTGTAGACGTTAGCAAAAAAACGTGGGTGTTTCCTGCGAATTTCATTTCTCACATTTACAGAATCAGGTGATTATGTTCGCCCAGCAATGCAGCTTTCTCGTTATCTATAGAGACAAAAGAAAGATATTACAGGACGATATTCTGTATGGCCGCCCATATATTTAAATGTCTCCATGTGTAAAGACAAAAGAATGTCTTATGGAATTTCTTATTGTGCAGTCACTGGGTTTATTTGTGAAGATACTGGTGAATGAAAACTTTGTGCAACCAAAAAACACATTTCAGCTTGAGCTTTATTCTTTCAACTTTATGTACAAAAGTAAACCGAAATCACTATTTATTTGAAAACCATTCCATGAGTTGTTGCGCCATGTGGCTATCTGTATGGTCCTGCATGGGTGGAGGATAGAGATGTTTGTAGAATCGTCCCCTACCGCTGACTGACTCCACTTGCCACTGGAGAGAAGAAAAAAACAAACATTTGAAGAATGTTCAAAGCTTAATAAGGATGTTCTTCCACAATTTGGTTTTTTTTTTTTCTGCAACTGTTGAGTATGCAGTCCAGTACCATTTTCGTAAACTGTGCACCGGTATGATAGGGAATTGAGTTATGAGAACCGTACGTAAGTACAAAGCATCGTTTGGCGCCCACGGGGATCGAACCCGCGACCTTGGCGTTATTAACACCACGCTCTAAACATCTGAGCTAACAGGCGCTTTTGCGTATCAGGCTCTTCTCCGCGAGCATCCGTTGCGCGAAAGCGCAAATTCGACCACGAAACTCATGCGACCTGACGAGCCGCTTGTAGTACGAGCGGTCGTCCTTGTAAATTCTGTGAAACCAAAGGAGGCGACTTGGAGATATCGACCTGTAAACCAACCAAGACTGTAAAATCAAAGCGCTATACAAAGAATGGGAGCGAGCAAATCTCATCAACCAGCACCAGCATGTTGCATACACCTGGATGATGGACTAAAACCCAAAGTATGAATTAAGAGCAAATAATCATAGAAGAATTATAAGAAATCCAGTGAACTTTGAGATTGTAACTTGTCAATTTACAGGAAAATATAGCTGAGAACATGTATAAAACTAAATGGAACGACGAGTTACTTTTATTTCATTAATATCCTTTTTCCCAATTATACATGGACCTTTACTTTCATTAAATAGACTTATTATTTATTATTGGGTGATTTCATG